TATCTATCTATCTATCTATCTATCTATCTATCTATCTATCTATCTATCTATCTATTTACAAAGAACAAACCCTCCTAGCATTCAGGAGGCAAAAGGAGTAGATTCTCTGAGTTCGAGACCAGTCAGGTCTACAGACTGAGTTCCATGGCAGCCAGGGCTCCACAGAGAAACCCTGTTCCAAAAAGCAAACAAACGAACGAACAAAAAAGAACAAACCCAATAATGAGTCCTGAGGACACACACCTGTAATCCTAGCCCTTGGGAGGCTAAGATAGGAGGATGAGGAGTTCAAGGCTAGCCTCAAGTGTGTGATGCATTCAAGACAAGGCTGGGCTACAGAAAAACAGAGAAGAGGGAAGGGAGAGAGAGAGAGAGAGAGAGAGAATTATTAGTGAGGATAACTGGAAAAATGAAACTCAAGGGGAAAAAAAACCCCTCAAATTTGCCTAAGTGGGTATGAGAAGAGTTGAGAGTGGGGAGACTCCAAAGTGGAGGAGCAAGAGACTGACGACAAAGATCGATCAGTTCAGAGAAATTACCTCTAAAATGGCGTTTCCACATCAGGATGTTTAGGTTTGAAAGTCAGCCAGAACAACTCAGCGACTTGATTTCTGCACTTTTCAAGATGGCAGTCTGTGTTCAGGGCTGCGTCCTGTCAGCTCTCCTCTACAGACGTGACCGCCACTGAAGCCGGCGTAGTTGAGCAGTACCTGCCTCGGAGCTGGGATATCACCACACACCTTCTGGAGGACTCTCAGCCTCAGAGACTTCTTTCTGCAGAGAGAAGGGTACAAGCCATGTGTGTTTAGAGTACAGCGTACACCTGTACGTAACCCTGGAAAGTGCTCTCTGTCCACCACCAAAACCACAAACCTTGGGATAACAGCTGAGATTCCAGGGAATAGATCTGTGTATTTCTTATGTAGCCCTGACTGTCCTGGAATGCACAGTGGCTTCAAATCAGAGATCCATTTGCCTCTGCCTCCCAAGAGCCAGGATTCAAGGTGTGCACTCCACACTAGGCTCAAGATTTATTTAGCTTTCTTTTGTATGTACGGCTGTTAGCCGCATGTTCATGTGCGCACCATGTACAGGCCTGGTTGCCTGGTGCCGAAGAGACCAGAAGAGGGTGTTGCTTGGTGCCCTGGAAATGAAGTCACAAACAACTGCAAGCTGTCCAGTGTGGGTGCCGGGAATGAAACCAGTTCGTCTCGAGAGCAGCGTGTGTCTTAACTGTGGAGCCGTGCCTCCAGCTGCAGATCTCTCAGTGTTTTCCCTCTCAGTCAGGCCCACCTGCTCACGCCCTCGAGAGAACTTCATCTCCTTGACCTTCACTAGCCAACTGTACCAGTCCTTGTGGCTGAGAGACCTGCAGGTCCCACGTCTGGGTGGTTTGAGAGGAAACAGTAAGCTGGAGTGCCATGAACTCACCTGTTCCCTTTAGCCAGTTGGCTGAACGTGCTTTGCCTCCACCTCCTGCCCTTCCTTCCCCTAAAGCTAAGTCTTTGCCCCCTCAACATGTGCAATCCAAGTGTCACTGGGGCCCTAGAGAGAAGGGGGAGAACAATGGGCTAGCTTAAGACAGCTACAGCACTGTTCCTTTGCTGTAGATCGGATCTTAAAAATTCATATGAACATCTGGGCGCCATGGCACACGCCTGTAATCCCAGCACCTGGGGAGGCAGAGGCGGATCTCTGTCAGTTCAAGCCCAGCCTGGTCTACAAAGTGAGTCCAGGACTGCCAAGGCTACACGGAGAAACCCTGTCTTGGAAAAGCAAAAAGAGAAAAAAATTTGTATAAACTTTGCATTCTATTTCTAGTATAGCCCTATCTATTTTAACAGAAAATACTATTTGAAATAATTTAAATATTTTGATACTTGATTTAATTTTTTAAACTTTTTTTTAATCATTTATTATTATTTATACAACATTCTGCCTGAATGTGTGCCGTCACACCAGAAGAGGGCACCAGATCTCATTCTAGATGGTTGTGAGACACCATGTGGGTGCTGGGAATTGAACTCAGGACCTTTGGAAGAGCAGCCAGTGCTCTTAACCTCTGAGCCATCTCTCCAGCCCCTTTACTTAACTTTTTAAATAAATTTAAAAATTTTTAATAAGAAAACATGTTACAAATAAAAACATGCAAACTGAAATTAACCAGACCAAAGGCTGTACAACTCAGTGAATGTGTCCACAGTTACAGTAGCCGTTTGGAACAGAAGCTGTGGAGCTTCACATTGAATTCCGTGCTTTCATTATAGACTATATTTTATGTATTTGTCCATGTCCACTACTGAGAACAAAAACACCCATGGCAGAGTTAGGTTTAGAAACATACTTAGTTTTAATCCTCCCTCCTAACTCCTGTCTAGTCCTTGTATTTAGTCTCACCTTTAGTCCTTTCTTGTTCTCTTTTCTATATGTTATACTGAACCCACATTTACAGCTGTTTATGTAAATGCATGTTATTGTCCAGATTCTGCATATCAGGGAGAACATGCATGTTTTTTTCTAAGATTGTATGACCATGTTTAATATTATACATACTAAGTCCTTCCATTTTCCCACAAATTTTGTGATTTCATTTTTCTTCAGAGATTGTTTTGTCTTTTGAGACAGCCTTGGCTATCTTGGACTCACTTTGAGGACCAGGCTGGTGTCGAACTCATAGAGATCCCCCTGCCTCTGCCTCTCTGAGTGCTGGGATTGCAGGCATGAGCCACCAGGTCCGGCTAGTACTGCATTTTATATAGACACCAATTTTTCATTACCTATTCATCTGTTGAGGAGCAACTCAGTTGGCTCCAAATTTTTTGGTCTAGTAAATAAAGCAGCGATAAGAATAGGGGTGCAGATACCTCCACGGTAGGGTGTATTGTTCTCCGGGTACAGAACCAGGAATGAAATAGTGGAGTAACAGGTAGAGAACCTCCAAACTGATTTCCACCATGGCTGTACTAATTTGCACCCCCACTAACCGTGAATAATGGTCCTGTCTCTCCACATCCTCTCCCACATTAGTTGTCAGATTTGTTGATGTCAGCCGTTCTGACTGGGGTAAGATGGTATCTCAGAGTAGTTTGAATTTGTCTTTCCCTGATGGCTGGGGATATTGAACACTCTTAAAAATAGTTATTGCCTGTTTGTGTTGTTTGTTTTTAAACTGTTTATTCTGTTTATTTGCCCATTTGTTGGTTAGCAGTTTTATTTCCTTGATATTTAATTTGTGCAATTCTTTGCAATTTCTGGCTATGAGCCTCTTGTCTAAGTGTAACTGATAAAGATTTTCTTTTATCCTGCGTGCTGTTTGTTAACTCTGCCAGTTGTTTCCTTTGCAACTTTTTATTTTCACATAGAGCCCTGCCTTCTGCTGCTGGTTAGTTCCTGTGCTGTTGCTGTTCTATGCAAATAGTTCTTGCATACACCAATATCTTGAAGGCTATCCCCTATGTTTTCTTCTGGAACTGTCAGTGTTTCCGGTTTGAAATTAAGGTCTTTGATCCATTTTAAATTGATTTTTAAAATATTTGCAAACTGTCAAGTTTAACTACCAGCACTGGGATCTAAAGAAGCAGTGTCATTATATTTTGTCATTCCAAGTGACTCATTTCATTTTTTCTTTTTTGTTTCTCTCTTAAATATTTATAAAGGACCCACTGTGTCCCAAACGAGCAGGGTGAGGTGTAATAACAGTGAGTAAACAGGCCAGACCCCTGACCTCAGGAGCCAGCAGTCAGCATCTTGTTAAATTGGAGAAGTGGGGACCATTCAGAGGATGGGATGAGAATGATGAATACAGAGGAAGGCGATCCAAAGGACCTGTAGCCTGGGAAGAAAAGCACTCCATACCGAGGTAGGTTTGTTGCATCCTGACATCTGAGGGGGCTGTCAGAACCTCACTCAATACCCCTCTACCCGAGCCTGAATCCTCTCCATTATCTTCCAGGCTGTGCATAGCA